TGTGTAGATTATAATGGAGTAGGACAGTAATGCAATGATTATTCACAATGGTGTTAGCCCTTATGCACCTAATTGATTCCCATGTTTTAGTCTGTTTATAATCCAAGACTTCTCTTCATTACCACAGGTTTGAAGATGGAACATTGCCCTTCCTCAGTCTTCCTGCTGTTCGTCATGGGCTTGATACCATTGAAAAACACACAGGTTAGAAGATGTTCTCCTTTTGGTCAAGTAAATTTATACATATAGCTATATCCATTACATTTAATTACTAATGAATGCCCAAGGATGATATGAGAGCAAAGATTAGCATATACATTCACTTTCCTACTGTGATTTTGCTTTATTCATCTTGTTTACACAAGGCATCACAAGCAGTTAGTGACCAAGGAGTCAATTCATAAGATGGCCTGATCTCTCCTATATATGCCAATCTTTGAATTTTCATGAGAAAATTTTACTTTTGATACTGCTGTGATTATTGACAATATTATTAATAATATCATCTGTAGTATCATTATAAAAAAAATAAACAGTGATAATATTCATTGCCATAAAAACCTTTCTACCTCAAAGTCCAAGATATTGTTCATAACATGGAGTTCATAGGTAAAGTCTGATAGGCCTACTATTGGCTGCTTTGTAACTCCTTGGAGCCATCTGTGTGTTAACAAAATTGATAAAACAAACTGTTGTGGACAGGGCTTGTATCTATGCATTCCCAGTGTCATGTCAATCAGACCACTTTGCAATCATATATAAAAATAGTTTAGACTGACACTATTAGAGATAAATAGCCTACACTGTGTTAATAAATAATGTTAAGTGTAGCACAAGTTTTCAGTATCACTCTCCTTTTCAGGTGGAATGAAGAACATCCAGCAACATGTTTTCAACTTAGCCCGCTACGCACATCACAGTCTCCGAAGTTTCAGGCATGGGAATGGAGCCCCTGTTGTTGAGACTTATCCTAAGGACGCTAAATGGGATGTAAGGACTCAGGGATCCATTGTTAACTTCAGCATTCTAAAGTCAGATGGGTCCTATATTGGATATTCACAGGTAAGTAGCAGATCTAATAAGAATGGATACAAAGTGAATAACTTGATTACAGATAAATTGCATGTTGACCGTGTGTTTACAAAGATGAAGATGAACTATTGATAATAAGGAAATCATTTTGACTTGTTTGGTAAAACTGGAATGGATTTTAGTTTGACTGTCTGATTTACTTTTAAGCAACACTCATGATTGCAATCAAAATATTTCCATGTTAGCAAAAGATGAGTGCTAAATCAAGTATATCAGTATCTGGTTTATTAATAGATTGGTGTGATAATGCATTTCAGGTGGAGAAATTTGCTTCCTTGTACAACATTCATTTACGCACTGGGTGTCTGTGTAATCCTGGAGCCTGCCAGAAATACTTGAACATATCTGAGGAGACATTAATTCAACAGTTTAAGGTAATGGGCTTTAGATTAGCCAATGTGTATTGCATGGATGTAGGCATAAATGGTTGATAAAAAAAAAAAAAAAAGTTTTCTTGCTTTACTTCCATTTTTTATACTTTTTATCACATCTCTCTTCATTCCTTTTAGCAGTAAATTATTTCCATTTACACAGGCTGGACATGTATGTGGAGATGCACACGACCTGGTAGAGGGCCTTCCAACTGGGTCTGTGAGGATAAGCTTTGGCTACATGAGCTCCTACAGAGATGCAGACCAGCTACTCCAGATGGTGAAAGAGTGCTTTGTGGAAGGCAATCTTATCACTGATAGTTCATGGATAGAGGCTCAGCCATGCCTAGAAGAAAAGGAAAACTATCACATGCGAGGACAGATAGAACTGGGAAAGAAGGAACTTGTGAATGGAAATGAGAAACATTTTGATAGCAATGAAAGTACTGTGAGAACCAAGAATGGATATTTGGATTCAGACATTACAAGCACACCATTACAAGCAGAAAATGAAAGAAATATGTCATCTGCACCACCACTTAAACTCACAAATATCATTCTGTACCCAGTTAAATCTTGCAGTGGTATATCTGTAAGAGAATGGAGTATAGGAAAAGAGGGACTGAAGTATGACCGACAGTGGATGATTGTAACAAATTCTGGGACAACACTAACACAGAAAAGGCTTCCCATTATGAGCCTCATAAAACCAAACATTGACTTGGTAAATGGAGTTCTTCAGCTTTCCTTCAAAGGTTTGTGGATACTTTTTATACCATGTATGTTTAGTCTTAGAAAAGAATTAGAGTGACTAGACAAGAATCCTACAAGTAATTTTTTATATATTCATTGGATTATTAATGATAGGTGTGATATACTGATGATGTCATTATGTTATCAACTAGAAACCTATTTGATCAGGTTATTTAACAATAATCTGAATAATTTTCCACTAGTTGTGAATAAGAAAGAGAGAGTTTGAAATTACATAGCACTAATAGACTTTCTGTCACAGGTGAAAGTATTGCAGTCCCCTTAGAACCTCAGGAATGCAGCACCAGAGAAGCGTCTCTCTGCCGTGGTGTTGTGTGTGGTGACCGGATAAGAGGTCATGACTGCGGACCAGAGGTTGGGGCTTGGCTGTCACGGGTACTTCAGCAGCCTGATTTGAAGCTCATGCAGCAGCTGAATAAGAGAACAGGGAAACTTGACTCTAAGGGCAATGGTAGTTCATTACTTTTCTCTTGATTTCGTTTATTTTCCTTATAATTTTTAGTTTATTATTGAGTTTAATTTAATGATAATGTATAATATAACTGTGTAGTCATAATAATACATATGTGATTGATTACATACCTCAGCTGACCAAACAATACTCTGAAACCTTTATACCCAAAATTTAAGCCATTGTGAACAAAATATAGCATATTATGTTGAAATGTTTAAATTTGTTCTTTTATTTGGGATTAACATCATATGCTTTGGCCTAATATGGTCAAAATCTATGTTATTCCTCAGGTAATGAATGTCATTTTAGAATGTAGTATTAAACAATTTATGCAGATTTGATAATGGAAATTATTTTTTTCAGGTTCTTTAGGCGAGTCTCTTTCCTTTGCAAATGAATCACAATACCTAGTGATTCACAGAGCAAGTGTAAGGAAGCTGCTGAAGGATATTTCAGAAAAAGGACTTGCAAACTTAACAGAGGTAAGGCATGTCTTCTCAGTAGTATTGTCTGTTGTTTTAGAAACTGCTGTGACCATAGGTGTGCATGGGACAATGCATTTATATGTGAGAGAGCATGGTGCTTGTGTGTATCACAATATACATACGTTTGCTTTATCATAACAATGGCAGGTTTATACAGTTAAATCCTTTACAATTGATTCCAGCTTGTTATGAATGCTTTATGAATAGGAATCAAGTTTTTAAAATTAATTTTTGTTAAGTAACCATTTCATTGATATACACACATAAATTTTCCTTTATGACAGGATGAACTTGTGACACGATTCCGAGCCAACCTGGTACTGGATGGAGGGGAGCCTTATGAGGAGGACTCATGGGAGGAACTGTTATTGGACAAGATAAGATTTAAGGTATTTATACTTATACATAAGCATGTACCTACTTCCATACATATCATACCTATTACTATATCTTATTACCTTGAAGAATTCCTACATCATGATCATCATCACCATCACTATCACCATCATTATAACCACTTGCTCTCCTGACTAGGTTCAAGGAGGCTGTAACAGGTGCCAGATGGTGGGCGTCATTCCAGAAACCGGAGAGAGGATGAAAGAGCCCATGATAACATTGGCAGCTACAAGAGGTTCTTTTATGAATTTTGGGATCCATGCTGCTGCTATTTCCTCAGTGTCTAATGACGAAACTATTTCAGTAAGAAGTAGAGTTAGTGTGACATATAATGCAGACTTCAATGTAGAATTGTGAATTTGAGATTAGTGTAAGCAATCTTTTGGAGTGTAAATATATTGTATATAAATATATTGTATATAAATATATGATTATGAATATAATTTTATAAACATAATTTGTATAATGAAAGCTATATTTGTCTATGATTTATAAGCTATTTGGGTGGACATTTATAAAGTACATAATTGCAGTACATAAGAGGTTTTATGCAGTTCTTGTCTTGTATGAAATATGAACATATTCTTATGAATTGTTAAGTTTAAATTACATTATATTTATATATTTGTTAATTGTTTACACTAACACAATATAAGTGATAGTTAATCTGTGATACTTTCCACTATGTACTGGATATTGTTAATAACATGCCTCATTTCAAGTTTTGGTAGGTTGCCAGCAAAAACAGAATTGATAATTTATCTTTACAATAAATTACTACTAATATGCATGTAAGTGTTTTATTAGGGATGGACTGGAACTGTAAATGCTCCAGAAGACAGTTTAATGCCATGTTAATTGTTGCAGAAATAAATGGTAATTACTGTAAAAGAAAAAGATGCCTTTACCAAGAAGAATTACAGCTGTAAATCTAATCTATTGTCTGATATTTTCATACTCAATACAGTCTTTATGAATTAGAAGAGATAATTTTATTTCTGCGATAATATAAACTTTAATCAAATGGAAACCTGACAATTTTTTACACCACTGTTGAAACTGAAAGAGTGAACTATATTTGTATATAATGTTTATTGTGACAAATTTACAATACATACTATGTACACTATACCTTGACAATATAACAAACAATATCATTTCAATGATAAGTTAGTCATTCAAATGATAATACAAATATATCTTAGTCTAACCAATAAAAATAAATTCATCTGATTGTTTGCACATTATGTGCAACAGATGGATTTGGAAACAGAATTTTACCCATACTATTGTATGAATCAATTAACTATTTTTGTATATTGAATCTTAAATATGTCAGGCAAAAGCTGATCATTTAAATTTTTCGGTCTACAACAGCAGATATTCCTCTTCAAAACTGACAGGCTGTAACACTAAGATTTAGATATAGTCTCTTGTCTTAACCACAGAGACTAAGCATTAATTTTTTCTTTCTTTTTTTTTCTTTTTTAATAGTATTGCTGTTGCTCTTCTTTACCTTTTATAAATACCACTCCAATATTCAGAATGTTTATAAACAATAATAACAAAAGCCCTTAAATTTTGTTCACATCACAATTTATTTTGCTAAATTTGTGAATATATAATAGATTCTAATCTTTATTCCTTTCCTTAACCCTACAAAGTTCCATTACAGTGATTAAAGTACACTTAGGTACACAGTAAATTTAATACCAGAACTGCATCAATTCATTACTTTTTTTAAGCATTTGTCTACCAATAAGCACACATTTAGTCCCTTACAAGAAACATTTCTTCTGGACTCATAAAGATTTTTTTTTAATATACAATGGAAAAAAGTTACTGTAAGAAATACACAAAATGCCCATATCTATTTGTTTTGTAGAGGCAAAGAGATACATCTGGCAGTGACAGCTAGACCAAAAGTCTCACACAGTCTTTAATATATAATGTCTTAAACATCAAGGGAATCATTTATCACAAGCAAGCAGCACTTAACTTAAATCTGAAGACAACTGTAGAAAATCTTGACATTTTCAGTAATACCATGGCAAACTTTTTAGACGAAATGCACTTGCTAAAGTTGAAATGGATTTTTAAAATGTGAGAAAACACTCCAAAAATCAATACCAAAAAGGGAAATGCAAAAAGAATGTCACTGAATAAGCAAACCTTTGCGTAATATTTAATCCAAAACCTCAAATTCACAATTTATAATGTCTAAAGGGAGCAGTCACTGATTTGCACAGAATATCCTTTCAGAGGGGAAAAAAAATACCTTTCTAAGTTTTCAATATCTTACTTCCTCTGACACACAGATGAGGATGGGAATTACTGATGCGACGTATCAAGTCTTTCTAAACATCTATCCTTAACCAACATTAGTACCAAGAAGTAACCAAAAGAAGTGAACTTTTCCTTTTTTTTAGCCATTTTAAGTGAATACTACCTTTGTACAGAGTTGTTTAAATTACTTATTTTTTACTAGCTGAACTTCTGCCAGGGGAGGGAGGGAGGGAGGGGAAGGGGGGAGGGAGGAAGAGAGATACATATAAATAGACAGACATACAAATAAATAAACAGACAGAAGCAGATCAGATGGTTGGGAATGCATTTGGGCTAACAGGTAGAGAGAGGCTGTGAAAGGCAAGAAATTAGGAAAGGAAGAGCGTAGACAGAGAAAGCAAATCCAGGAAAACTTAGGAAGGTAAAATGAAAAGAGTGGTGAACAAGTGAAGGGTAAAAAGGACGAAACAGGCAATAATAGTTCATCACCTTTTTTTCTAATTGTTTTGAAAGTCTGTAAGTCTACATTTCATATTTAACACACAATGGTTGGAAGCTGTAAGTGATCACTACCAGAGATTTTTTTTTCTTTTGATCAGTTGAGGACATATCAGGAAATGAAATGTTCCAACATTCTTAAATGCAAAAATGAATGAAAACAGCAGCCTGCATTATATACTTTTGAATATACATAGATATAATAATTTGTCTTTATTGCAATAAGACAATGTTTTACACATACAAAACACTAGAATACTGTACTTGAGCTGTAAATCACATTCACAATCTATACAACAAAACCAATATAATAGTATATAAAATTAGTAGGAGGGAACTTGTTTATATCTTATCTGAGGCTTCCAGTCTGATCTGAAACCAGACAATTGAAGAAATAAGAGGACTCAGCCCTTTATGTCTACATAAGGCTTCTTGATGGTTATGTTAGTCATACATATAACCTGCTGTAGTTTTCTCTTTTTTTTTCAAAATGATGGACCACTTTTGTAGATTAATACTTTTTGGATTGGTAATTGTTAACTTTTCCATTTCCTTTTAGAAGCATTAGAAGTTTGATTTCAGTATATGGGCATCTGAATTATATATCTTTAAATAGCAGTGGGTTCAGTTACAATAGACCTTTTAACCACTGCTGAATTTGCTCAAAATCACTTTTTATGTCACTGGAAGTAATCAAATGAGCACCAATATCACGGTTTTCTAGCACCTAATATTAACTGAGCTATATTCTATAACTAACCCTCCTCAGTGGCATTACTTTATACATCACTCCTTTTTCTGGACTTTACTTTCTGCATCAACATTTACTACATTAATAATAATTTTGTTGACAGCTGTGAACAAGTTTTTCTCATCACATAATTCCGGCATTTTACTGGACAGATATGATATTCTGAAGTGTGTATCTTGGAGGTCAATACACTGAATGATTGTAAAAGGGGTTATCTCACTTTTCAAATTAACCAGTTTGACTTCTCATCCAAATACTATGCAGCATATTCTTCATGAGGAAGCCTTGGCAAATTCAGTACACATAACTTAACCTATAACTTATTGTAACAACTCTGAAAATATACCACCATACATCCCTCAATATACCAGTTGCCAAACCCTTTATTTTTCAGTTGTCATATCAATTTTAGGATACTTACCCACTTTAACTACATAATTGGGGTTGAATCTAGTCCAGTTTCTTGGAAAAATTAAAATTTATAAATGCAAAATGTCTGTTGAACATTTCATGGGCAGTACATGTGTTAGAATTTGTGATGTGTATGTATGTGTGTTTAAGCACATCACATGAATGCATGTATGTCTCCATTTGAGCATATTTATACATGCTTCTGTAGACGTGCATGAAAGACAATGTATATGGGGAGTTTGAGTGTGATTCAATGATACTGTTCAATAATTCCTACGATCAACACTATTATTTTCTTTAATTCTTTTTTCATTATTGTTTCTGCATAATTTTGCTTTGCAATACGTGTTTTATTCCAAAATATATGAATCACCCCTTATAATTGCACTCAATTACAAACTCTTAGTTTTGATAAGAGGGGAACCTTACATACATCAACTGAAGAAAAAGGTTTATTAATGCCTGACATTTCTTTAGAAGAATACTGACAATTTCACAGGTTCTTGCCATTGTAAGAACATGACACCAATATCTTAGTAAAGCCACAGAAAATAATAATAATCATCATCATTATAATGATAAGGATTTCCAAATATGGTGAAGTGATTTTAATGATTACTGAAAATATTTTCATTCCACTTTTTTAAAGGTTTACAGTTAATTTCATTAACTATAGGTACATGATAACAATCACATACATATTTACCATGTTATGCAATTACCTGCATGGAAGAAATATGCCATAATTTGTGTTAACGTGATGTAAAAGCATTTCCTTCTTTTTATTTCCATTTACCTATCTTAACCACTTATCTATATATCATTAATTATTCTCTTGATGTGTTTGTTTCTTTGCATATACCCATTTTTACAAAAGAGTGAACTTGGTCATTCCTGGGTATTTGTCTGCATAGCACCTAATCATAAGCCTTATGGGATAATCACCATATTAAGTTACATCTTATAGCTGTTTAGGAAAAATGGACTACAAACAGAAGAAACTGAAAATGTTCTCATTGATAACATGCACAACTTGTGTTTATTCTTCAACTGTATTATGAGAGCAGAGTATAGTTCAATGTTCCATGAACAATTCTTGTCTTTTTAACATGTGACTTTGAAATGGTGGAGTCTGGTGCATTTGAAACAGGGTTATCTTTATTTCTGGTATGGTAAATCCTTATGAAATAACACATTTGTTGATAGTTCTATAACATGGTTAGGATGTAGCGTGATGCTGTTGTACATACATTCATCTATAAGTCTGTTATTATATAAATAATGATTGTATTCAAATGAGCTGAAAGATGGGAGATGAGGCCTGAGCTGAATGAGGGCTTGTAAATATAAGTGATTCTGTTTAGGAGCATCTGCATCTGTGCAATACACATCTGTTATTCAGTATGTTTGTCTTTCATACTAGTTTATCATACACTAACATTTCACAAAGGAAAGGGTAAATAAAAATGATAGCTTTAATTTATACTATGAATGTTGTTCATTATGTTAATATACATATATTATACATTTATTCATATTATAGATAAAAAGAAAAAAAAAATAACAGACACCAACTCTGTGTTTGTTTCTTTGCATATACCCATTTTTACAAAAGAGTGAACTTGGTCATTCCTGGGTATTTGTCTGCATAGCACCTAATCATAAGCCTTATGGGATAATCACCATATTAAGTTACATCTTATAGCTGTTTAGGAAAAATGGACTACAAACAGAAGAAACTGAAAATGTTCTCATTGATAACATGCACAACTTGTGTTTATTCTTCAACTGTATTATGAGAGCAGAGTATAGTTCAATGTTCCATGAACAATTCTTGTCTTTTTAACATGTGACTTTGAAATGGTGGAGTCTGGTGCATTTGAAACAGGGTTATCTTTATTTCTGGTATGGTAAATCCTTATGAAATAACACATTTGTTGATAGTTCTATAACATGGTTAGGATGTAGCGTGATGCTGTTGTACATACATTCATCTATAAGTCTGTTATTATATAAATAATGATTGTATTCAAATGAGCTGAAAGATGGGAGATGAGGCCTGAGCTGAATGAGGGCTTGTAAATATAAGTGATTCTGTTTAGGAGCATCTGCATCTGTGCAATACACATCTGTTATTCAGTATGTTTGTCTTTCATACTAGTTTATCATACACTAACATTTCACAAAGGAAAGGGTAAATAAAAATGATAGCTTTAATTTATACTATGAATGTTGTTCATTATGTTAATATACATATATTATACATTTATTCATATTATAGATAAAAAGAAAAAAAAAATAACAGACACCAACTCTGTGTTTGTTTCTTTACCTGCATAAAACACCCTTTCTCTTCTGTAAAGAGTGAATGCAGTTGTAAGTCGTGTGGCACTTCCATGCAGATAATGCACATCAGAGGAGTAATTATTGTTGCAACTAATTAGATGGAAAGCAGCTGCAACTCACATCAGTATACCCATATGCTTACTTCCAAACTTTAAAAAGCAAGGCATTTTGCTTTACAAAAACATTTATAAAAGTTAAATGATCCACTGTAATGCTATGGACAGTTTCCTTGTGCCTATAAGGAGTAATAATTTTGAAGCATTTTCCACTTTAATCACAAAACCTCATATTCAAACACATCTAAGAAAATTCCATGAATCAAGTGCTAACAAAGTACACTTGCAACATCCACTGTCTATCATTACACTACGGTATAAACACAAAGTCCACAGCTTCATGATTCTGCAACGACTAGAAAGGTACAAATATTTGCCAGCGCTATTAATAAACTGTACAGTATCTACATCCACAATAACACTGAGGCTGGAATGTTTTATTGGAGTAAAGCATGGCCAAATTCTGGAATGCTACTCACACTACACTTAGTTATACTGACACGGAGTTGTTAAATAGAAGTTCAAGGAAACTGTACTCATCACCATCTTATTCAAAATATGCACCTTAATTAAAACCCATGATGAAGAAAAGGGGATACAAAATAAAGGATAGTCAATATATACTAAACAACATTTATAATATTGTAATCATCCTCATTCAAACGGACATGATTTCTATGTAAGTAAATACTTTTTTCATCACAGAAAGCTCCTTGGAACACAAAAAGAATTTCATCCTTATAATTACAAAAGGAAACTTACCAGAGACAAAGTTAGTGTAATGAAGCAAAAGAAAATGAGGGGGATGGAGACAAGGGAGAAGGAACAAAGCAGAGGGAAGAGAGGAGAGAGGAACAAAGAAAGAGGAAAGAGGAGAAAGGGATGAAGGAGGGAGAAGGAGAAAGGGAGAAACATCCCAGAATTTTATTTCCTATCTTAAAAGATCCATAATTTTCTCATGAACATATTTGGAAGAAAATGCCAATTTCTTTCAATATAACTAATTTGACCAAAATATTAACAACATAGAAAAAATGACCATGCTTTACTAATATATAACTCCACCTCCTGCAGAGATTTTATGAACCAAGTGTTGGTACCCAAAATGTCAATTAAAATAATGCAGACCTGTTGCGTCTCCAAATACAATAAACTAGTTTCAATATATTTTCTTTGTGCTTAAACATACTAAATGTAAAGCTTCCCAATTGGGATATCACACTGAAGATTTTTAATGTCCTTATCTTACCCATCAGTGAATATAAAGGAAGATGCGATTATCACAGACTCACTGGCTCTCCAGCTTGGGGAAGGACTCGCATCGCACTGGTTTACTGGAATTCCGCACTTTGCCTTCTGCACTGGATGCTCGACGCTTGCTGCTCTCTCCTTTGCTCTTCTTTTTTCTCTGGCTCTCATGGACTAATGGCAAGGTAGAGGTGCTATTGCTGAACAAAACATTTTTATGCAATAACCTTGCACCAGGGTTTTTGTGTGTAACTGCCCTCTCACTTTCATTTTGCAGATCCACCATTGGAGTGATATTTGGACAATTTCCAGGAATCTCCTCATTACCAAAGAGACTGTCTGACCCATTCTCATGCTCATCATCATCATCCAAAGTGAGAGCAACGTGGTCACTGGCCTCGCAGCTGTCTCCTAGAAAGGTCACTCCCTTGCTTGAGGAACTGTGGCGCCGAGCAAACTGTCTGGCAGTGATTATTGCACTTACACTATCTAGTCGTAAGTCAGTGGCACCTTGGTCACTACCGGTATCATGGGTCAAGACAGCTGAGTTGTTATCACTCGCCGAGGGTGGAATGGAGTGGATGTACAGGCTGGTAATATGCGGATTTACACCAACCCCTTCCTCTAATACTCTACTGGCACTGTCCCCTCCTGCACCTGCTTCTTCCTCAGCCTCACTCTCTGATACCTGTTCGATTGGAAGTTTGCTTAAAGTTACACCAGGATTTAAACAACCATATACACTACATGATGCTTAAAATAAATATATATGCTAAATTCTGAATTATCTTGTTACAAATTTTGGTAATTTAATGTTTTTTTTTTCAACCACTATATTCATAAAATCTAACAGACAACCATTTTTTTTTTAGTCAAATAGTGATACTGACTAAGTATTTAAATGTATGGTAAAGAAAGATAGTAATAAATAGAAAAAACTAAGGAAAATGTAACTGGTCTGAACTTTCAAAAAATGTCACTGTTTACAGCATACCATATACAATTTGCTATAACTGACACACAGAGAAAGACCATATCAATCAATGTGGTTAAAAAAACAAGAAGAGAAATGCTCCACATGTAATCCTTAGAGATATCAGGAAAAAATAAGGCATACCTTGTACTGCAAAAGAGAACCAGTTAAAGCCCGAGTTGATGCATTGTCTGTGTCCATTGTGTGGGTTGATCTCTCTGATATTGCTAATGAAGCAGTTTCCCCACTGGCAATTGAACGAGCACCATGTGCAATATCTACATGAACTTCCAATCTGTTAAAACACAAAAATAACACATCACTGTAGGCACATAATGTGAAATACTTGTAAGTTCTATGAACCCATAGGAATATTTAGCACATTTTCACTGCTTATATCATATGGATCTACAAAATCAATGAATTTTAGGGAGCACGGAATTATCTAATATAGATTTTCAATATTTGCTTGTATTCTGAATATCTAATTTAGATGCTGCTTCTTGCATTAGTATGCAGAAAGTCTCTTAATAATTACTTTAAAAGCAGGATTCAGTGAAAGTAATAACAAAACAGTACTAATTATCTTTTGAAAAAACTTAACTTCCTTTTACTGAACCTAAGGAAACAAAGATAAGTCTACCTATACCATTCTGTTGTTGCATTTACCTGTTTGTTCTAGAGATGCATGAGGAAGCTATAGAGCCTGTCAAGGATGCTGGGGCAATGGCTGTGTTGCTGGCAGACTCGCGGTCACTTTCTGCCAAGACATGTGCAGCAGAATCCGCAGAGAGTGATGCCCCACAAGACATCTCCCCAATGCTGGCTGTTCCACCTCCCACATGGCTTGATTCTGGGGAGGGAAATGTCATGATTTAAAAAAAATGGAACACCATATACTCCTACCTAAAGCAATTAATGTAAGTATTCATTCATGATAAGAATATCAGAGTAATCACACAGACATACTATAGAATTTTAAAACTTTGCACATTTCATCTTACTGCCAATTACCAAAGTACAATTATGTCTCACCTGATTGTCTTCCAGGTAGTCCAAATACCATGTCATTTTCATCATCAAAAGCAATTCTTACACCAGAGGCTGAAGTTGTAACTCCACAACCTCCTGAACGGCACAAAGATATTGGGACAACACCATACACATATGCCAATAAAATTGGCACACCTATGCTTACTGCTAATCCTGCGAGCACTGGTGATATTACAGCCTGCAAAAGTACAAAGAAAACAAACATAAATAAATAATCAAACAAGCAATTTATTAATTTGTTGACACTGACTGTGCTTTTAGTTATCAATTTTACTTACAAATAGATGAATACAAAAATACTTAGTCACCAAAGAATCAATTATTTGGCCTGCCTAACTTTACCTGTTTACGACATTCCTTAAATTTTCAAAGAGAGGAATTATTGTATTTATTACTATTAAAATTGTTGATAATGTCTTGATAACAATATCAATGATACAATAAAAATGTTATATAAAAGTATTAAAAACTTGGTTTTAAAAATTCAAGAAATTGGATAAACAGATGTGGTTGAAAGAAATATTTATTAGGTACTGTGAGCTTGTGAATGTAAATAATACTGACAAAACAAAATTGCAATGGACAGTGCATGTACCAGGACCCAAAAGGTTAAAAAAATGACAATTTTATTAAGTTTCTACAGACACAATAAAAACATCAAACAATATTTCAAATGAAAACGAAAAACATTCTCACTCTAAAGACATTATCCCCTGAAATTAGACAATCCTTGTACATAGAAAAATTAACTTTTGTAAACTCTACTTACTGAAGCAGTCACACCACCAACTACAGCCAAATTTCGACGATGCCTGCTACCATTGGAGTATCGCGCGTGCAGCTTGCGTCCAACCCATATGGGAATCCCTAAAAAAGAAAATTAAAAACAATAATAATAACAATAATAATTTTCATGTTATTGTTATGATACTAATAAAAGTACATTTTATTATCCTTTAAAAATATCTGTTAACCCATTGCCGCCGGGGATGGCATGTACGTACATGCCATGCCCACTGTGAGTCGACTCATTCAATTGTTTTTACACACAGATGGCTACACTTGCACTCAGTATACAATGAGCCAATTACGAGTACTGCATGTCCCACCCGTTCACCCTTTTCATCGATTTATGAAAATATTTAACGTTATCGTAATTTGCTTTTAAAAATAACACCATCTCTATTTATAGCACTAGTAAGAAAATGTTTTTTCCCGCCAATTCAAGGAAAGGTGAAATCAGGACTAGCAGAGCCATCTATGGACAGACATATTTCACAAAAATATGAAAAATGAGTACTGCATTCTCCCCATTTTTTGTTCATTTTCCCCGGCGGCAATGGGTTCAGAGTTTTGTAGATAAATTATATAAATGATAATGATCATACTTTGAAGGAAAAAAAAAAAATAATAAAAAAAAAAAATAAATAAATAAATGAAAAAAAAAAAAAAATAATAATAATAATGCTGATATTTGGAGAAACTGTAACAGCATGAAAGAAGAGGGTTCACAAAGAGAAAAAGGGGGAAAATGGGGGGGTAAAAAAGATAATATAATATATACATAATATATCCATAAAATCTACATCAATATATCCATATACACCCAGCCACACCCAGCCCAACACCCACACATGAAGCATGTACTCACACACACACATGCACACAAATGCACCCACACCCACACACAAATGCACCCACACACAAATGCACCCACACCCACACCCACACCCACAAAAAAAAAAGTATGGGAAACAACATGAACCCCTTTTCTTACCAATAATCATAGCAGGGACAGCTAGGCCTGCAACAAGCCCTATGCCAAGTGGAGCCCCGATTAGTGTTCCAAGTTGCCACAAGATCTTTTTCTTCCTTGTCCATGGTTTCTTGCCCCAGAAGGTACACCCTGATGGGCTGAAATCATAAGGAAAGAAGATTACTCATACTTGTATTTAGTTGTTTTATTTTGGCAAGCAAAGTCAAATTATTCTTTTTGGTGTTGCCTCTTCCAACAAATAGATAATTACAAATGCCCACTTAAATGGCTAGTCAACAATAACAAAGACACAAAAACAAACCTTAGATAATGCAAGTCAGAAATTTCTTTCATGCACAGCCAGCAGAATTCTGCACCGCACACACTGCATGTTATGTGGTTACAAGAACCATCATCCATCTTCATAATTAACACTTGGCATCTCGGGCATGATTTGACATCATCATCTAAAAAATATATATTATGTATTACTATTGGATAAATTTTTCTTTTTACAATCTACGTACTACAATCCAAGTATATGTTTTCTTGTGAAAAAATTGATTTACAAAAGGAAGCCAGAATGGAAATTGCAAAGCATATGACAAACCAAGAAAATGGTCTACCTACATGAAAGTTATAAAAAGAAATAATGCTAGTTCTATGAGTATTACAAAACCCAGTAATTCTGGGATATTAAAGACATAATAACAACTCACTTGTCTGAATGTCATGAAGGTAATTGAATGATGAGAGGAGAACATTGGGTGAACGTTGAGCTCGAGCCATATCACAGGTCTGGTTAGGGTGCCATTCAGCCTTACAGTGATAGCAAAAATAGCTTCCACAGCCAGGACGCTCGCATTTCAGTTTTGGACATCCAGCACATCCTGTTGCAATTACTGCAAACCTGCAATACAAGTTTCATTAATACTTTGTCACTTCATGATGATCATTAATAAGTCAGCTATCTATTTCCAGTAATGCAAATGTATCAACCTTCTTTTTTTAATCCACCCAGCAGGGAATGACAGATTAAAAGCAGAATATTCATTAGCTGCTCCCACTCACCCACAATCTGGGGCAGGACACCACCGTGTGTCTGGGTCCATGGATAGCACCCGGCGTAACATGAAGTCTTCAAACTTGTCTGATAGCATGTCATTTGCAACGATCTGATGAATATCTGCAGGAGTAAAGGAATGTTACGTGACTATCCTTATTAGCATTTATCTATATATCAATTCATGTTGGGTGAAAATGATCATGTACAAAGAAGAAGAAGAAGAAGAAGGAAAGAAAATTATATACATACATACATACACACGTATACCAACCTGGTCCTTGTGAAGCATGGAATATAACACAAATATCAAAAACTAACCTGTGGGATGCATGAGTTCGTTGCACTGCGGACAGCTAATGTTTACTCTTGATTCCGTAATCTCTACTTTCAAATACTGTTTTAAACAGGGAAGACAAGCAGAGTGTGGGCATGAAAAAAGGGTTGGGAAGAGATCAGCCGACACCTCCTGAAGACACAAGGAGCATTCACGTCGCACCCCCTCTGATGAACCTTCTACAGAGGTACTCCCTGCACCTGCACCAGCTCCTGCACCCCCTGAGACATTGCCACTGCTGCTTGCTGTAGCTCCCTGGAATTAGGTTTTATAATGAAGACTACTGAAGTTGTTGTAAGTGCTAAAATAATACAAACTACTTGTAATATATCTTTGCAGGAGTCAGACTATTAAAAGTAATGTTCTTTGTACTTCAGAGCAGAATAAAAAAAAATCTTACTGGTTCTGATGAGCATGATTCTGCCCTTGCTGTTCCCCGGGATCCCACGGAACCTCTTCGACTTCCAATGCGACTCCGGTTACTAGTGGTTGTATGCCGCTTGATAGAACTCCAGCTTGTGGTTTCCCCAGTTCCCTCTGTGAAGACTCCCAAAGAATCTGCATCTCGTTCTGGATCTATGGTCAATTTATCTGTTGAAGCATTACGATTCAAAATAAAATTTGCAAAAAAAAAAAAAAAAAAAAAAAAAAAAAAAAAAAAAAAAAAAAAAAAAAAAAAAAAAAAATAATAATAATAATAATAATAATAATAATAATAATAATAATAATAATAATAATCATCAACAAAAATTATAACACGACAATTCACAATATAGTTTCAGCTTCAAAAAATATCGGCATGAACACTTAAGGATGTTCAATGGCCACACAATGATCAATGTATCTGACATAGCCGTACTTTCACGAGAGACGGAGAGAAAATACTCACGAGAGGAGGTTGGAGTGCGGACCCTTTTGGATCTTGTGCGGATGGAGAAAGGACTGTTGAGCAAGAGAGATCTGAGGGACATCCGAGGGAATCCGGAGGCGGAACTGCTACCACTGCCTGTGACGCCTCCTCCACCACGCTCCATTGAGCTCACTGAGGGATATGTCCTGGTGCGTACCCCCCCACCTTGGCAACCCCCACTGCCACTACTGCTACCGCCACATGGTTTGCTCATGTTGTTACCAGGTGTGCCACCCAGTC